AAGTCCGTTCATTCATTCAGTAAATACATATTGAACATGTACTAAATGATTGGTGCAGTGTTCCAAGTGCCGTAGACATGGGAGAGAGAGCCTGCTTCATGACACTGCCTACAATAAATTGTAAAGAATTGATGTAATTTCAATTGGTTGTTAAGTGCTATGCAGGAAATGGGGTAACCGTGATCACATCTATGGAAGTAGAATGGTAGGAAGGGTCCTCAGAGAAGATGACATGAGTGGAGACTTGACTGACAAAGAAGGTTCTAAGCACAGGAAGAGCTGGGAGCATTCACATTGGCCCCTGATTCTCGTATGTCACGTGAATCCCTACCGAGTGGAGGTGACTACCCAGGACAGTCCTGCACTGTGGACCTCATGGGGGAAGGCCTTCATATGTGTTCGATCCTTCCCTAACCAGAAAACTGAAGGTTAAGTATTGATTCTGCTGCTGGCTTACTTCCATGTGTCAAATTATATCCCTGTGCTTCATAATTTTGGTTAGAAAATAGGGTTATTACCATTTTTTTCCTTAGCTACCTCAAGAGTGTTAGTGACATATGTTACTTTGGCTGTTGAACTGTTTTGCATAGTTAGAGAAAACATAAGTGATGATGTTAGAACTGATTGGCACTTCCGATATCAGGGACTTTCTACTAATTGGATTTATGAAATTGTCCTCTGTGATGTAAGATAGTGTTTATAGTAATGACTGTGAGGGTAGTGCAAGAACCCTAAGTGTTTACTGAGCCATTGTGTTAAGATAGAATTATGTAGTGTTGATGCCATGTGAATTCTACTGTATTATATTGTTGAAAGTTGGTTATTTGTGGGTAAGTGATATAATACTATTTTTAAATCAGAGTGTTTAATCAGAGCACCTACTTTTCTTATTAGAACTAAAATTGTTTTATATGTTTATGAGGAGTATAAGTGCTACAGATTCTGAATTAAATATTATATATATGTATATTTTTTTACTTTTTTTTAGACTATTCAAGTGCAATAGTGAGACGGGGGAAACAGTAGAACAAGGAGTTTGATCTGTAACTAACTGTGAACAATCAATTGAGATGACTCACTACTTTTGGACCAGCCACGAAAACTATATTTTAAATAAGTTTTTTTCTCTACCACTCTCACCCCTAATTCTAATTATAGGTTATCCAATGAATCTAGCAGCCAGTGGGCATTAGTGGTACAGTTCTGCAGGCTCCACAACATGAAACTGAGCATGTCTTACCTTAGAGAATGTGCCAAAGCAAATGATTGGCTGCAGTTTATTATTCACAGCCAACTCCATAACTACCACCCAGAGGAGGTAAGCCACTGATGGTTAGCAGTTATTCAAGGGGAAACTGGAACACTTCTCAGAAGATAGTGTTGTTTCTGTTGTGTAAACATAGCTTTTGTTTGATATGATAGTGTTATTTTTACTAAGATTTCAGTGGGTTGGCATCAGACAAGGGACGAGTCACTAGTACTGAAGAGCCGAAAAGTTTTTTGGCTCCAGATTGAACATAGAAACTCACTCAAAAGTAACAAACAACTTTGTGAGAAAGAATAATTTTGGCTATACTTTTCTCTAACATGTTCAGTTCCAGCTGAAACTGAAAGTTGAGTGTCTATTTTAATCATCTTATATGCTTTTTAGGTGAAATCCCTTATCAAATACTTCAGCCCCGTCCTTCAAGACCACTTAAGGCTGGCTTTTGAGAACTTGCCTTCAGTGTCCACCTCCAGAATGGACAGTGATCATGTCTGCAACAAGTCCCCTCAGGAACTCCAGAGAAACAATGAAGAGATGACCGATTTCTTTGAAATTCTGCTCAAGTGCTCAGAGGAGCCAGACACCTGGCACTGGCTCCTGGTTGAAGCAGTGAAACAACAGGCCCCTATCCTCAGTGTCCTGGCCTCATGTCTCCAGGTGAGAATCATGAGAAGCCTAAATTAAGGACCCAGAGAACAGTAGAAAAAGTGGTGAACAGAAAAGACTGATAATCAGAAGTAGAGTGACAATGATAATGAGGCTCCAGCATGTGTTTCCAAGGTCACTACAACTCTTTTTGCATCCCATTTAGTGTATTTCTTTGTGCTTTGACATTCAGTTAACTCAAATGGCCAGAGCCTTGATTCCTGGTTGGCAGCCCCAGAGAGGGATGCTTTGGTGGACAGATGACCACTGCTTCTTTAGGGCCTTCTTCAGCAGGGAAGAGGGACGTTCTGGACAGTCCCTTAATCAGCAGATCAGTGGAGGGCAATCCTACTATCTTATGCTTCGTACTTCCCTGACTTCCGCATATATCCCCCTCTGTGTTCTTGGCCTTTTGATGTACCACACTCTGCAGAACAATTTGAAATAGTCCCTTGGTTACTCATGTTTGAGTTTGTTTCATGTCTGAAGGCTTTTCAAGCCATTTTTGACTAATTAAGGGACAAGACTTATTCTAAACAGGAAATATCCATCTGTAGCATTTGTACATTTGTCAGGTAATCCAGGCCCAATTGTTATTTTATTTTGAAACTTTCTTGTCCAGTGGCAGGATGCCAGTGCTATTCCTTGTCTCTGTGTTTGGATCATTACTTCTGTGGAGGACAGTATTGCAGCTGAAGCAATGGAACACATTCAGGGCTCAATAGAGGGCCACACCTGGGACCTTGCAGACCTTTCAGTCATCTGGAGAACATTATTATCAAGGCAGAAGAGCAAAACTCTTATCAGAGGTTTCCAGCTTTTCTTTAAGGTATTGATAGTCACTTCATTTCTTTCCAGAGCTTAAAAGGATTCTTTTCATGTATCCCCCCACTGACTTTTTCTCATTCCCACCCTGGATTTTTTTAGCCAACAACAGATGATGGTAATAGAACCACCATTTATTCAGCAAAGTGATACATTTGATACATTATTTTGGTCAGTTTTCACGGTGATCCTATATGAAGATAATATTATGAAGTGGGTATTATCCTCATTTTATAGACTAATAAACCAAGGCTCATAGAACTTAAGTAACCTACACAAGGTCTCAAAGTACTTTAAGTAAGTGGTAAACTTATGGTTCAGATAACTCCTATTCTCTGACGGAACAACTCCCATGGAAAGCAATAAAATGTATGGATCAATGCCATAGGCAACAAGGTGAGGTAGGTTGGTGGAGCCAATGATCCAGGAGTGTATGTTACAGATGTCAGAGTGCCACCTAGTGGAATGTCTCCTGCCCATGTGCGGTGAACCAAGTATAGAATAGACAGAAAATGGATTGTTGAGCAGGTGTACTTGGCTTGAGTATCATTTTTCCAAAAGAAAAAGAAAATATAAATTTAAATTTATTTTTAACGTATATGATTTAATTATATGCAGCTGTTATTAATAGCATTTTTACATTCTCTTATTTGGCATTACTCACTGAGAAAATACTAAGTTCAGGATTTTGTAATTTTATTTGAACTCTTCCTCGAAGGATTCCCCATTACTATTGATGATGGAGATGTATGAACTGTGTATGTTCTTCAAGAATTATAAGGAAGCTAAAGCTAAACTTCTGGAGTTCCAGAGGAGCCTTGAAACTGTAAGTTGGAATTACAGTTCTCTTTCTCGCTGATCTGAAATTGGTTGGCATGGCCTGTTGTCTGCTGGTAGCTGGGATAGGGCAGCAGGAGAATAGTGGTTATGTAACATAATTCAAACGAAATCATTTGTACCATTCCAGAGATGGGGGAGCCGGGGCAGGAGTTGCAGTGGCCTCACTCCCTGAAGCTTATCAGTGCCATGAACAGATAGGTTTCATGGAATGTGCCAGCTGTGATCAGTATCCTGGTGCTGCAGCCAAGCTCATTGGGAAAGGGAGTCATGGTATCTGCTGTGGACACCAGAGAGGAAAGTGGTGGTACATGGGTTGCATTTTGCCAATCCAGAATGGCCCCAGCAGTGTTGAGTGTGAAGGGAATTTAATGCTGCTTTATTCACTGCTTTATTTACTGACAAAATATAATTTTTTTTTTTTCACAACACTCCTGGTGGTGCCTGTCCAAATGATGCCGAGCTATGTGGCCAATTTTAGGCTATACCTACTCAGATGCTCATTTAAGGCCTGTTTATCATGTTGAGTTTAATAGCCCGATGAAAACAAAAGAGGAAATTGAGAGAGAGGAAATATGCTTTAGTCTTGCTTGGGCTTTTTAGCACTTTTGCCTTTTGTACCCCAAAAGTACTCTATGATAAATGAGACAAAAGTATATACCAATTCTGCTCAACAGATATATCACAATGGAACCTCAGTACAGGCTTTTGCCCTCAATCACATTGGTTTTAACTGCGATGAATATTTAAAAGTTTTATATTTGAAAATACCAAATTAGTTATTTGAATATGCCTAGCGTTCCTAAATCACAGAAAATAGGCATGTGCATTTCTGTGTATTACCCTCTGTGGCTGGAGTCCTCCCAGGTATCTTCTTCTTCTTGCCTGACTGCCCCTGCTCCAGCCTCCTGCCGAGGAGCCAGAGCAGCTGCTTCAATCCTTGCCTCAGTCCTTTACTTCTGTATACTTTTTCCTTCAATCAGTTCTATCATCTGCCTGTGGTAATCCCTCTTCTTAGAGCAACAAAGTTAGGTAAATGAGTAAATAAAAATCAAAAACTAATGTCCTAATCCCAGCTAATTTTAATAAGGACACTCAGAAGAATAAAGAACCAAGAAGAGAAGTATTTTAAAAAAGAAGAATAGAAGTATTATAAATTCTTCTAAAAATCAAAATCCAGTCCAAGTAGTGATAGAAAACATTCAGTAACAGTATCTAAGCAGGAATAGTAGCTAATAATGAGCTGACTTGCAATGTTCGATCTTTCCCGTACTAATTCCCTTAAATACTTTGCAGTGAGGGAAAGGCTCCAAAAGCAAAATGATCTTCCCTTAAGATAATGCGTAAGCCCTACTGAACCTTAAGAGAGGAGGCTGAGTAGTGGACAGGGAGGACCACATAGGGCATAGGAAAGAGAGTAGAGAATGAAATTCCAAGTAGGGATAAGGAGATAGCAGTAATGTGTCATAGGGTTTGATAAGCCATTCTTTATAATTTCAGATCTTGGCAGTCTTGGACATTTTATTGAAGGGAGTATTGTACTTCTAAAATCTACATCACAACCAAAAGGCCTCTTTGGATATTAGACTTACCTTTAGAGGGACTTTTATAAGTGTGATTGGAAGTATGCAGGAAATATCCAGCCAAGACTAGGGCCTAACCCAGCACTAGGCACAAAGCTAATGAATTATAAGTTTCTGGGTACCTATCAACATATATATTTTTTTTTGACCAGCAAGTTGAGTTTTTATTTCACCAAAAGACCTGATATTTTTTGTGATTGTGTTGTGTGAAGTCTAAAGTGAACTATGAGACTATAGTGATTAAGAACCAAATATTGTCTTCCAAAAATAATATGAAAGAAGGGGCAAAGTAAAAATCAAGAATGAAGGCACAAAAGAAAACACTACTCCTTTTGGTCTCTAAAATTGGCCTTTTCCTGTAGTGTCTTAGATACCTTTGTCATACCTACTTGTAGAAATGCAGGCTGCTACTTGGAGTCATCTTCCTATTAATATTTTTAGCATTTGACTGAAATGACATAAATCCAGGCTTCTTAACTGAGACCCTTCTCTAGCAAGAATGTAAACTATAAGCAAAGTAGTAGAACCAGCTCAGTAATGTTAAGCAACTCTTTCTAAGCAGTCTTCATAATTTGAATTTAAAATCTTCTAGACTAGATACCTCTCTAAAGAAGCTAAGTGAAATATGTCTGGTTAATTTCATAGCACTCACAGGGCTCTTAATTTGACAGTCACTAACTGTGGGTATTTACATTAGTTATTTCCATAGTTAGCTTTCAGTCTTTAGGACTCTTGCCATCTCTGGCTTTCACCCACACAGCTCTCTGCACTGGGACTTTCCATAAAGAGACAAAGTGCAAGGCTGCAGAAAAGGGCTTGTTTTTGCTGGTTCTCTCCGAGCCCCATTACCAATTCCTGCCATTTGGAAAAGACCTGAGGAAGCATCCCCCTTTGTGACAGGACATGACTTTTGAGGGAATTCTGGCTTTCTTAGAGTTTCTCAAATTTGGAGGTTTTAATTTGCTATTCCTATGAAACCACTTTTTCTGAGCCTCTCTCTTTTTTTCATAGCTTGACACAGCTAGCACAAGGGCCCACCCTGTCATCCCTGCCACATGGCTGAAGGATCAGGTGTGTTTCCTTTTGAAGTTTATGCTACAGCAGTGTAAGACCCAGTATGAGTTGGGGAAGCTTTTACAACTATTTGTTGGAATAGAGCATCTCTTCTCTGAAGGTAAGACAGTCGTTACAGTTAAGTTGCTGTGAAGAAGTTAGCTTTCTTAATCTTGAAAGTGTTTTAGAAAGGCAGTTAGGAAAGTAAAATGCATATGATATACAACATTATATTTACAGTCCATCAGTGGGTGTGAAGAAGTTACAGGTAACTTCAAATTGTGGTTAAAATATTCAGAACATAGTACAACAGCATAAAACATAAATAATACAGCCAATCCTCTCATTCTAAGCAGTTGTCAAATAGCCACATTTCCTCCTGGCTAGCCTCTACATTACCCTGTCCCTATCATTCTTCTCTCTGGCAAGTAGCTTTAACATGTCATCATTGCTCAGGGTCACAAACTCTGTTTCATAATTGATTTTGAAAGTATCAGAGACAAATTATGCTTATTTTTTGGAGATTCCTCCAGATGCTGGCAGTCTCTAAGCTTGTTGCTGGTTGAATCAAACCAATATTGCCTTACTCTCTTTTCACGTTTGATAATTTCACGTTTTTGTTGAATGATAATGTTGTTCCTTTACACTAGATTCTGACATTTTTCACGACTAGGGTTATTTTCTCACATTTAAACTCACAGATGTTTGTGGTGGGCACGGTGGTTTAAGCCTATAATCCCAGCACTTTGAGAGGCCCGGGTGGGAGGATAGCTTGAGCCCAGGAGTTTGAGACCAGCCTGGGCAACATAGTGAAACCATGTCTTTAATTTAACAATAAATAAATAGATAAACTCACAGATGTTCAATTGGAAAGCTCAGATTTGCACAGAACACTGACAAAATGCTGCGTTCAGTGCCAAATATTGTAGTCTGTGAGCCTGATGACAGAAAGAAAAGAGGGATGTTTCCAGAACACAGTGGATATAAGATGGTACTTGTCAGTTACTGTGCAGACTTTACTGTGCAGACCACGTGATAGGTCCTTTTAACATGTAGGTGTTTTTATTGATCTGTAGTAATGTTAATATTTTTCAGAAATGAATTTTCTGTTGTTTGGCATAGTTAATCTATCTTTGAATAATTACAAGGATTGACTACATTGTTAACCACTACTATAGTACTTTACTCATATAAGTAAATTATTTATGTTTTTGTAGAAGATTTGCATTGTGTATATGTGTGTAGAGAACAGGAGTATGTTTTTTTAAAACCAGTGGTTTATGTGATGCCACCAAAAAAAAACTCAACATGCCCATATTGGCAGAGAATTGTTAATGTTACTAAGGATAATAATTGCCCAGGGACATCAGGAAGAACTCAGCTGGGTCTCTGTGGGTTAAGTAGATGGATGTCAGGAGGTGCAAGGGACGCTTCATTCTGAATATGATGTGCCATATTAGGGCCTAGGCTGTTGGCCAGCTGCAGTTTCAACTGTCCTACAAGTTCCATGTCTTGATCCACGTGATACCAGCACTGAATGAACAAATGACCAATTGATCAAATAAATTTGACCAAGGTATGAGAAAAATCCAGAAAAAGATGAGACTAGCCTGAGCAAATAACTAAAATCCTCCCAAGGTTACTGTGTTTCTGCTATATAGAAGGCTGCCAACCTCTGCCCTGTATATAAAGCCAGATGTGTAGATTGAGTTCATATGCTAATTTCTAACAGGCTTACTATAGGGCAGGCAAGTTCAACCAGACTTGCCCACTAAGGATTTTCCAGGGCCATTTTTTGGCATCTTTGGTGTATAGGAGCTACCTTATGGCTTCCTCTACTAGTCAGCCAGAGTAGAAAAATAGGTTTTTGTTTTCCTTTAATCACATTTTTATATTAAACATGTATATTTTCCCCTATTATTTAGTTACTCTTGAAATGCCATAGCAGCATTTTATTGATTAAATATTTATATCCTCTTCTCTTTGGCACAGGTCCAGATGTGAAGAAGCTGTGTCTCCTTAGCCAAATTTTGAAGGATACATCCATAGCCATTAATCATGTGATTATTACCAGCTATAGCATTGAAAATTTTCAGCATGAATGTAGATCTATTTTGGAAAGACTACAGACAGATGGACAATTTCCTTTAGCCAGGAGGGTAGCAGAATTAGCTGAATTACCTGTGGACAGCTTGGTTATTGAAGAGGTATCATTAGTCTTTTAAGTTATTGAAAATCTTAGTTTTTTAAACCAGTATTAAATGGAATCAAATGAGATACATAATTTATAGGAGAGGAGGCTTTTTTACTTTCAACACACATATTACTTTCAGAAATGGATGAGGCTAGGATGTCCATTACTGAAGAATGTGTGTTTGAAATGTAAGTTTAGCCTGCAGGATATGCTACAACTGTTTTCTTTTGAATAGAATTAGGTGGCTTCCTCTTGAACCCCATTCAGTGAGATAAATTTAGTATTGTTTTTCATACCTTAACTTTGCAGATAAAATAGCCAGAGTCATCTGTAGCCAAGTCCCATGTTCTCTGATTTGATTTAGTTTTAACAAGTATGGTATACTTAGGGAACATTAGCATTTATGATACTTTTTTATCCAGGAAAGGCTAAAATTTGCTTTGTTAAATTTCACAGATAACACAGGAAATGCAGACTCTAAAACACATTGAGCAGTGGTCCCTGAAACAAGCAAGAATTGACTTCTGGAAAAAATGCCATGAGAATTTTAAGAAAAATTCCATTTCAAGCAAAGCAGCTTCTTCCTTTTTCTCAACCCAGGCCCATGTGGCATGTGAGCACCCACCTGGAGGGAGCAGCATTGAGGAGCGCCATCTACTGCTCACACTGGCAGGGCACTGGCTTGCCCGGGAGGACCTGGTGTCCTTGGATAAGCTGGAGGAGCTGGAGAAGGAGATCTGGCTCTGCCGTATCACCCACCACACCCTTGGAGGAAACCAGGAGGAAACAGAGCCCAGGTTTTCTCGACAGATCTCAACTAGTGGTGAACTTTCCTTTGATAGTTTAGCCAGTGAGTTTTCCTTCTCCAAGTTAGCTGCTCTGAACACATCAAAATATTTTGAACTTAATGGCCTTCCATCCAAAGAGGCATGTGAGAATAGACTGGATTGGAAGGAACAGGAGTCACTGAACTTTTTGATTGGGCGGCTGTTGGATGATGGCTGTGTGCATGAAGCCAGTAGAGTATGCCGGTACTTTCATTTTTATAACCGAGATGTTGCCTTGGTGTTGCACTGCAGAGCACTGGCCTCAGGGGAAGCTAGTGTGGATGACCTGCACCCAGAGATCCGTGCTCTCCTACAAAGTGCTGAGCTGCCTGAGGAAGAAGAGGAGCCCAGCATTCCCCTCAGGAAAGTCCAAAGCAGTAAGTAAAGATAAACTTCCCTGTGTCCTAATTGATGCTGTTGGCACTGTCTCTAAAAAGGAAGGGTCTCTTCCATAATAGTTAAATAAAAGTTAAAGGGACAGCAACTTTTTTCCAGGGAATCTGTAAACTAGGTAATAAACTAGTTAATAAAGTAGACATACCTATGTCTTTTAACTAGCTGTGTTTCATAGTTAGAGGGAATCCATTTGACTTGTAGCTAGTTCACTGAAATTTATTCTATACAATTTATTCTGTATATCTATAAAATTTAATGATTCCAGTTGTACATTGATAGTATATAGAAATATGGTTGATTTTTATGTTAACCTTGTATTCTATGACTTTGTTAAACTCGCTTATTTTGTTTTCTTGGCTGGGTGTGGTAGCTCATGCCTATAAGCCCAGCACTTTGGGAGGTTGAGGTGGGAGGATCACTTGAGGCCAGGAGTTGGAGACCAGCCTGGGCAGCGTAGTGAGACCTCGTCTCCTACACAAATTTTTTTTTTTTTTTTTTTTTTTGAGACAGAGTCTCACTGTGTTGCCCGGGCTAGAGTGCCGTGGCGTCATCCTAGCTCACAGCAACCTCAAACTCCTGGGCTCTAGCAATCCTTCTGCCTCAGCCTCCCGAGTAGCTGGGACTACAGGCATGCGCCACCATGCCCGGCTAGTTTTTTCTATATATTTTTAGTTGTCCAGTTAATTTCTTTCTAATTTTAGTAGAGACGGGGCTCGCTCTTGCTCAGGCTGGTTTCGACCTCCTGAGCTCAAACAGTCCGCCCGCCTCGCCTCCCAGAGAGCTAGGACTACAGGCGTGAGCCACCACGCCCAGCCCTCTCCTACACAAATTTTTTTAAAATTAGCCAGGCATGGTGGTGCACACCTTTAGTCCCAGCTACTTGGGAGGCTGAGACGGGAGGATCATTTGAGCCTGGGAGTTTAAAGACCAGCCTGAGCAACACAGCAAGACCCTGTCTCTACAAAAATATTTTTAAAATTTTTTCTTCTTGTAGATTCCCGGGATTTTCTACACAGACAATCATGTCGATGCAAATAGAGACAATTTTACTTCTTCATTTCTAATCTATATGCCTTTTATTTCTTGCTTTATTGCACTGGCTGGGCTTTTCAGTACTCCATTAGATAGGAGTGGTAAGAGTGGACAGCCTTCCCTTTTTATCCCTCTTAGAGGAAAAGCATTCGGTCTTTCTTTCTTCATTAAGTATAATATTAACTGTAGGCTTTTTGTTTTGTGTGTGTGTGTGTGTGTGTGTTTTCCTTTAAACTTTTTTCTCTTGCCCGGCTAATTTTTTCTATTGTTAGTAGAGATGGGGTTTAAGTTATTGAAAATCTTAGTTTTTTAAACCAGTATTAAACGGAATCAAATGAGATACATAATTTATAGGAGAGGAGGCTTTTTTACTTTCAA